CCAACGCGCGGATAGCTTGCGCATATCCAATTCTTCAATATATGACAAACGTGTTCTTTCGATATGCCTATAGCCTCTGCTATCTCTCAAACCTTGATTCGATGGTCGTCCAGTACCATTTGGTGAACATTTTCGATGTTATCAGCGGTGATTGCAGTTTTTGGCCGTCCCGAACGCTCATCATCAGCCAAGCTGGTATGACTATGTTTAAATTCAGCTGCCCATCTTTTTACGGTGGTAAATGATGGGGCAGAGTCCCCGTAAACAGCGTCCAACTCGATTTTAATTTGCGCATGCGTATTGCCTTTCAAATGTAAGAATCACGGCACGATATTCAATTTTTTCCATTTTTACAAAAACACTGATATCGACTGACACAAACGACTGTCAAACAACAACTGAACGACCAAAATGGCTGAAATTTTCATAAAAGTCTTTCAAAGCATATACTATTGTAGTACTAGAATGGTTTTGACGAGTAACGTCATCTTCATGTTAAGGCTCAAAATTTTTCAGACTACCTTCGTGTATATATGTAATATATGTGTATATATATATATATATATTTATATAGTATATTTTATATATGTATATATGTATATGGTATATGGTATTCTTTTAAAAAAATAATTATTAAAAATTAAAATTGAAGCAAGACATGCCCACAGATTAATATAAGAAACATTTAAAAACTATATGTACATATTGTCGCGCTTCCGCGGCGGTCACTCGCATAACACTTATTCATGCGATACGCGTAAATAAATAAAGATCGTATATGAAGAATGAACTTTAATAAGCAACAATTTACACCGTTTTACAATCCCGAAACCTTTCAAAACCTCTCTCACAAATCTCAATCGAATCTCTTCAATCAATAAATCAATAGTCATAAACAACAGCGCGTTGACAAGAAACGATCTTCTCAACATTACTCGAACATTACTCATACATTACGGGGACCAAAAACGAGCGGACCACTACTTAGTCACAACAATATGTACGGTATAGTTGAAAAAATATAGTTATAAATATGCCATATATGTGTTTATAAATACATATAAAAATGTATTTATAAATATGTATTAGATTGTCAGAAAAGTTTGTATCGTTTCTCCGATAGATGACATTGGCAATATAAATAATAATGATACGAAGTAAATTGATATGACTTCTATATCATTTGAAAAGGAATATTGTGCTTAATACTTCACAAATATTTTGATTGCACAGAATTGCATTGTGTGTGTGTTGCAATCGTGTAAAAATGGACTACAAGAAAGAACATTTTTGACACATTTTATTATATTATTATCAGAAAGGCAAAAACGCTGCGAATGCTCATTGAAAGATATGTATTGTGTATGGAGAAAATGCCATTAGTAAAGCACAAGTCGAAAGTGATGACTGAACGAAAGTGACCGATGCTGCTCGTTCTGGACATCCATGGATGTCGATGATCAACTCTTGGCCATGGTGTCGAATGATCGACATCTTACGATGCAAGATCGCAGAATATTTAAATATACACTATTCAACCATCGCCACTTGAAACGCTTGGAGATGGTGAACAAGGCCGATGTTTGAGTGCCACATAAGTTGACTGAGCGGAATTTCATCGAACGAATTTCCATGTGTGATTTGTTGCTGAAGCGTTACCAATTCGACAATTTTCTAAAGCGCATGTTACTGGGGATGAGAAATGAATTTTATACGAAAATGTTCTGCGAAAACAATCATGGCAAAAGCGCGACGAGCCGGCCCAAACCGTGGCCAAAACTGGTTTGCACTCAAAAAAGATGCTATTAGCAATTTGGTGGGATTACCTTGGAGTAATTTATTACAAGCTGCTCCCGCAGGATCAGATCATCAATTCTGATAAATATTGTGTCTTAGAGTGTTAATTGAGAATGTTAATAGAGAAATGAAGCGAAGAATTGAAGCACGCCATTGCAGAAAAGCGGCATTGCTGAACAGAAAAGATGTTGTGTTTCATCACGATAATGCGAAACCACATCTTTGCAGACTCGTCAAAAACTGTTAGGTTAAAAACGCTTAGGTTGGGATGTTTTGTCACATCCACCATATTCTCCCGATATCGCTCCATTGGATACACATTTGTTTCGCACTCTACAGAATAA